GCAAACACGTTTGGTGTTCGCCAAATGGCATGTGGGAGACTCCCCAAACATATGGAAGAAGGTACTCTGGTCAGATGAGACTAAAATTGAGCTTTTTGGCCATCAAGGAAAACGCTATGTCTGGCGCAAACCCAACACCTCTCATCACCCCGAGAACAACAGCATCATGCTGTGGGGATGTTTTTCATCAGCAGGGACTGGGAAACTGGTCAGAATTGAAGGAATGATGGATGGTGCTAAATACAGGGATTTTCTTGAGGGAAACCTGTTTCAGTCTTCCAGAGATTTGAGACTGGGACGGAGGTACACCTTCCAGCAGGACAATGACCCTAAGCATACTGCTAAAGCAACACTCAAGTGTTTTAAGTGGAAACATTTAAATGTCTTGGAATGGACTAGTCAAAGCCCAGACCTCATTCCAATTGAGAATCTGTGGTATGACTTCAAGATTGCTGTACACCAGCGGAACCCATCCAACTTGAAGGAACTGGAGCAGTTTTTCCTTGAAGAATGGGCAAAAATCCCAGTGGCTAGATGTGCCAAGCTTATTGAGACATGTTTTCAGTTTTCTTTTTTTTGTTTCACATAAAAAAATATTTTGCATCTTCAAAGTGTTGTGTAAATCAAATGATATAAACCCCCCAAAAATCCATTTTAATTCCAGGTTGTAAGGCAACAAAATAGGAAAAAATGCCAAGGGGGGTGAATACTTTCGCAAGCAACTGTACGCCTAGTTTCCTGTAACGGGTCGTATTTAAAAACAAAGCCAAATAATTACATTGATGGAAGTTACAATCTATCTGCAATATTAAAGCTGATCTACCCCCTATAAAAAGAATGAATAATAATAATAATAATACAAATAATGTCTTCCCTTTCAAGAGTTGCCATCTGAAATCTGAATCATCCATCTCTAATGAGTACATACGGTAACATGGATCCGTACTAGTCTTGGTGCTATTACATTGGCATGTGGGTTTAGGTTAATGTTTTATCTATGAACGCATTGAGGGCCCCAGGCCATGGCCTACAGTTTATGTGGGAGAAACACAACATTCCATTGAGTTTCCTGCCAGTAAATCCAGAGCCCGGAGGAGGTTCCTGGGAGCTGTCTGCCTGTCACATCACAGAGATTTACTGGGTCTTAGCATAGATCTGAATAGCTTCCTTCCGCCTTGTTCTCATGTCTAACCTGCAACCTTTGTCTGTCTGCACAGCCTGGTCTCATAAACTAGACATAACATAGTAAATGTATAGCGACCTAGCTGACCGTTAGCCACATCTAGTTCGTTCTCAGACTCGAACGTTAGCACTGTGACGAATATTGGACTTCCTCTTCCTTCACACCTTTAGTCTTTGCCTCATAGGAGAGTTCACGTTTCTGAGCTGCGTTAGGCGCAAGCTCCAACACGTCCCCAATCGTAAGAGATTTAATGCGCAGGCAGATATCTCAGATATGCACTGACAAGACCTGCTACTGTGCACTGGAAAATCCGCCTCCAGCACTCTGGGCCACATTAAAAACAGGATTTGTATTCATATAATTTTTACATTCACCATACATCCACTGTAATGTGGTGTTCAACAATTAAAGAGAGGTATGTCGAGAAAATGAGAGCTACGTGGCTGAGAGAAGAGCACATCATCACTATTGTGCCATGCAGAATGTTGTCTAGAGTCTACAAACTGGACAAACCTTGGTTGTCCCAATAAAGAGCTGCTAAGCTTACAGTATACAATGGCCAGCTGCTGGCTTTCACACTGTTGATGTTATGGGAGAGATCATGGAACAATGCAATACCATTCATTCCTCTTCCATTGCCTTAGTCTCCTGCTCCAACTAGAGACAATGCATATACAGAAGACTTGGGCGCCAGTAATACAGTTTGTTAGGTGAGTGTCTCAGTTTGAAAACCACCAGCTGTCCATACAAACTCCAGGCTATGTCTCTATCATTCAGCAGAAAACAATGGGGGGAAACAGAGCAGTTGTTGGGAGGAAATGAGTGTTCCGGCCATGGGAGAAAGGCATGAGCCAGATCATGTAGATGGGGAGATGTTCGTTAAGAGCAGGGTGGGTGACCATTGCCCCTGCTTGGGAGGATTGAGCTCATTAAGAGAAATGACTGTGGCTGGTCAGTGCTGAGCTGTGCTCGCTGCCTGGCTGCATTTCTGCCTGGGGGGCTGGTTGCCAGCAGCATGACGACGGACGTACAGCAGTTGTACACTAGGGGGACTCAAGCATTCAACAAGTAAGATGTGCGATTGCATCAACTCTTACATTGCATTGAGACATTGATTAAAGAGCATTGCGTCAATACCAGGGGACCAAAAATTAGAAAATCATTTCATACAGCATCCTAACTCATAAACAGCCCTATTACCGTTCAACTCTTTCTGTTGCTCAATCATCCAAAAGAAACATTGCAGTCGTAGGAATATTCACTCCACAGATCACCATGCCAGCACTGACACCCACGGAAATGCTGAAAAAGGGTGGAAGGTACAGATCAAGGGTAAAGCGGAACAGGGTGATTTACGAAGACAGGCAAGACATATCTAAAGTTTACTGTAGCCTGTTGGCGATGGGAGGGTCGAGGAGGATAGTAGACCATCATACAGCATGTAGCCATAGGGACATCATGTCGAGGAGGATAGTAGACCATCATACAGCATGTAGCCATAGGGACATCATGTCGAGGAGGATAGTAGACCATCATACAGCATGTAGCCATAGGGACATCATGTCGAGGAGGATAGTAGACCATCATACAGCATGTAGCCATAGGGACATCATGTCGAGGAGGATAGTAGACCATCATACAGCATGTAGCCATAGGGACATCATGTCGAGGAGGATAGTAGACCACCATACAGCATGTAGCCATAGGGACATCATGTCGAGGAGGATAGTAGACCACCATACAGCATGTAGCCATAGGGACATCATGTCGAGGAGGATAGTAGACCATCATACAGCATGTAGCCATAGGGACATCATGTCGAGGAGGATAGTAGACCATCATACAGCATGTAGCCATAGGGACATCATGTCGAGGAGGATAGTAGACCATCATACAGCATGTAGCCATAGGGACATCATGTCGAGGAGGATAGTAGACCATCATACAGCATGTAGCCATAGGGACATCATGTCGAGGAGGATAGTAGACCATCATACAGCATGTAGCCATAGGGACATCATGTCGAGGAGGATAGTAGACCATCATACAGCATGTAGCCATAGGGACATCATGTCGAGGAGGATAGTAGACCATCATACAGCATGTAGCCATAGGGACATCATGTCGAGGAGGATAGTAGACCATCATACAGCATGTAGCCATAGGGACATCATGTCGAGGAGGATAGTAGACCATCATACAGCATGTAGCCATAGGGACATCATGTCGAGGAGGATAGTAGACCATCATACAGCATGTAGCCATAGGGACATCATGTCGAGGAGGATAGTAGACCATCCATACAGCATGTAGCCATAGGGACATCATGTCGAGGAGGATAGTAGACCACCATACAGCATGTAGCCATAGGGACATCATGTCGAGGAGGATAGTAGACCATCATACAGCATGTAGCCATAGGGACATCATGTCGAGGAGGATAGTAGACCATCATACAGCATGTAGCCATAGGGACATCATGTCGAGGAGGATAGTAGACCATCATACAGCATGTAGCCATAGGGACATCATGTCGAGGAGGATAGTAGACCATCATACAGCATGTAGCCATAGGGACATCATGTCGAGGAGGATAGTAGACCATCATACAGCATGTAGCCATAGGGACATCATGCAGTTTAGTATGTGCTGTTTCAGAGCATTGAATCATAGAATGAGTGCTTCTGCTTCTCCCCTCTATACAGAGCAGAACAGTAGACCCGCCTGAGAGGCAGGAGGCCAGGATATCTATACAGAGCAGTACAGTAGACCAGCCTGAGAGGCAGGAGGCCAGGTGCTCTATACAGAGCAGCACAGTGGACCAGCCTGAGAGGCAGGAGGCCAGGTTCTCTATACAGAGCAGAACAGTAGACCCGCCTGAGAGGCAGGAGGCCAGGTTATCTATACAGAGCAGCACAGTAGACCAGCCTGAGGAGGCAGGAGACCCAGGTGCTCTATACAGAGCAGTACAGTAGACCAGCCTGAGAGGCAGGAGGCCAGGTTCTCTATACAGAGCAGCACAGTAGACCAGCCTGAGAGGCAGGAGGCCAGGTTCTCTATAAAGAGCAGCACAGTAGACCAGCCTGAGAGGCAGGAGGCCAGGTTCTCTATACAGAGCAGCACAGTAGACCAGCCTGAGAGGCAGGAGGCCAGGTGCTCTATACAGAGCAGTACAGTAGACCAGCCTGAGAGGCAGGAGGCCAGGTGGTATGGTGATAAGAGAGAAGGACAAGCCAGATATGAACACCTTCCTGGAAAGCCACATTGCCTCAGCATGTTATAGGGAAATATACAGAGTGAGTGTTTGAACATACAGATATTCCAGGTACGGAAAATATAGCACCTTAAAAAGCGTGCTCAATAAGCTCAGAGACACACGGCTCTCTCAGGCTAAGGCAGACACACACACATGCTAACTCCCAGTCTGGAGAGGCGGTGGCAGCTCCTCCCAAAATAGAGAGAGTGGGAGAGAGAGAGAGGAGTGCACTCTACCGAGGGAGCCTGTCTGCTGTCACACATGTCTGCCCTCACCTCCTCTGTACTCCAGCTTCACATGAGACAGACTGCACTCTCTCACCACATCTGGACCTGCAGGACGTCTATGGGACCTGTCCTCTCAATCTCTACACCTCTTTTCTGGTTAACCTAACCTACAAAGAATCTGATTCCAAATACAAAGCCTTCAGAGGGAAACTCGATGGCAGAGGTTTCAAGGGAGTAGCGATGGAAACACTTGGAAAGAACACAATGATACATGCTGTATGAAGTGGAAGAAGATCCTTCCTGGGGGAAAATGCTGTGTTTGAAAGGCACTCTACGGGCCTCATTTTACTCAAGGTCCGTTCCTGGCTAAGGGAAGAGGAAATCCTCGTGCTCTGTGGGATGAGAGTTCAACTGTGGGGCATTAGCTGATCCTTCATCATCTCCCCCTCGTCCTCCTCCTGCTCCCCCTATCATCAACGACACACTATGTGGATGTTATCTTTAGTCATATGGATTCTCAATGTCACCAATCTCACTCATGGATATGACTATGATGAGTATTACCCAGGCGAGGAGGAAACAGAGGTGAGTAACTAATAACCGGTTGCTGCTCTTGGATTATGTGTCATATAGTACGTTAACGGTACAGATAAGAATTCACCAGATTACGCTTTTCTGCATGGTGAACCTTTATTATGCACAGAACTCTGATTTCAGTACAGAAATAGGCCTGTGAAAGTATTAGACTAGTGTTGTTGACTACATCAGTTTGTTGACAATCAATTTGTTGACAATCAGTTTGTTGACAATCAGTTTGTTGACTAAAGTGATCTCTATCATTCAATAAACAGACAAGACAGGCAGTTTCCCACACTCCTTACTCAGGGCTTAGTTGTTGGTTTCACTATAGTGGGTGTGTCTTTATTTGACAATAAAACCTCCTCCTCTGTGGCTACATTGTGCGTCATTGAAGGTGAATGAATGAATAAATCATGCTGTGCATGTCTATTTTCCCTGTTGAGGGTGGTAGGCCATACCTTTAGACAGACATGTCTGCCTTTGAAAAGGTTGAATGGAGAGAGGGACTGAGGGATTGTCCAATTAGACAATAGAGTCCAGTGAGGATTTGTTTGAAACACAAGCAAAGTGACTTTTTATGGTTACAATTGACTCAAGAGCCATTCAGAGTTGTGGCTACGTTGTTTAAATTGTGAGGTAAACTGACAATAGGTTGGGTGTGATGACAAACATTCACTCTGAAGAATATGCCAGATCATGTGGGATGGATGCACTGCTTATCTATTGGTCAGTCATGACCTCATGTTGCCAAGGGGATGGCCTCGTGTTAGGTGATATGAGCGATAGCTTAAGGTCAGCCACAAGGGATGACATTTGCACGTTCCAAGTCCAGTGGATCCGACATCACACAAACGGGTTACATAAAAGTCCACATCCCACTAAACAACATAAGAAGCAGCTATATATATATATATATATATATATATATATATATATATATATATATATATATATATATATATATATGTTGTTTAGTGGGATGTGGACTTTTATATATAGTCCGATAGTGAACTCAAGGCTTTCATCGGAATACGCAGAACTTTGATTGTAACAGACATAATAACCTTGTTCCTATTCTCAAAGAAAGAACTTGGCTAATCTCAATGGAAAAAAGATGATCTTGCATTGCTTAGTTTTCCCATACTGGCTCAGTTTCCCTGATAAAGTACCAGTCTAGCTTTACCAAAACTCGGAGAGATACAACAACAACACTGTAAAGACACTAAAAAAACTCTGTTGAGATACTCAATACACTCTGTTGAGATACTCAATACACTCTGTTGAGATACTCAATACACTCTGTTGAGATACTCAATACACTCTGTTGAGATACTCAATAACCTCTGTTGAGATACTCAACACACTCTGTTGAGATACTCAATACACTCTGTTGAGATACTCAATACACTCTGTTGAGATACTCAATACACTCTGTTGAGATACTCAATAACCTCTGTTGAGATACTCAACACACTCTGTTGAGATACTCAATACACTCTGTTGAGACACTCAATACACCCTGTTGAGACGTTCAATACACCCTGTTGAGACATTCAATACACCCTGTTGAGAAGCTCAATACACCCTGTTGAGACGTTCAATACACCCTGTTGAGACGTTCAATACACCCTGTTGAGACGTTCAATACACCCTGTTGAGACGCTCAATACACTCTGTTGAGACGCTCAATACACCCTGTTGAGACGCTCAATAAACTCTGTTGAGACGCTCAATACACCCTGTTGAGACACTCAATAAACTCTGTTGAGACGCTCAATACACCCTGTTGAGACGCTCAATAAACTCTGTTGAGACGCTCAATACACTCTGTTGAGACGCTCAATAAACTCTGTTGAGACGCTCAATAAACTCTGTTGAGGAACTCTGTTGAGACGCTCAATAAACTCTGTTGAGACGCTCAATAAACTCTGTTGAGACGCTCAATACACTCTGTTGAGACGCTCAATAAACTCTGTTGAGACGCTCAATAAACTCTGTTGAGACGCTCAATAAACTCTGTTGAGACGCTCAATAAACTCTGTTGAGATACTCAATCATCTCTGTTGAGACGCTCAATACACTCTGTTGAGACTCTCAATAAACTCTGTTGAGACGCTCAATAAACTCTGTTGAGGAACTCTGTTGAGACGCTCAATAAAACTCTGTTGAGACGCTCAATAAACTCTGTTGAGACGCTCAATAAACTCTGTTGAGATACTCAATCATCTCTGTTGAGACGCTCAATACACTCTGTTGAGACGCTCAATAAACTCTGTTGAGACGCTCAATAAACTCTGTTGAGGAACTCTGTTGAGACGCTCAATAAACTCTGTTGAGACGCTCAATACACTCTGTTGAGACGCTCAATAAACTCTGTTGAGACGCTCAATAAACTCTGTTGAGACGCTCAATACACTCTGTTGAGACGCTCAATAAACTCTGTTGAGACACTCAATAAACTCTGTTGAGACGCTCAATAAACTCTGTTGAGATACTCAATAAACTCTGTTGAGATACTCATCTGTCATCTTTAGATAAAATATTGTAGTGCATGATCAACTGAATTATTTGTAATTGAATTCTGTTAGATCAAATACATTAATTTGTTGTTCTCATAGTTCATTTTGTTCCTCGACAGGCCCCACTGGTTGTGGAGGGCCTCAGTGGTTTAGACACAGTGTCCAATGTGGACGAGCTGGTGGAGCTGCTGTACCCAGAGTACAGTCTGGTGCAGCACTGCCTACGCAGGAAAGCCCACCGCACCTCCCCTCCTCTCCATGCTGAAGACGATGTCTGGGCCTGGGGCAAGACAAGGGAGAAGGCACTGTACAAGTCTGATGGCACCATTGACGGTAAGGCTCTTCAGTTGATTGGCCCTCATAACAGCCTACACCAATAGAGAGAGAAAGTTGTCTTCCCATCCCACAGGGGGCAAATGTTAGCGTGATAACCCCATTTCTCTTTCCCCAAACCCACAGATGGGAGCAGTACAGCTGTGTGTCTTTGTTAAAAGGAGAGAGAAAGGCCTTTGTTTATTTTCCTAACAGTTAAAGAGGCCCCTCACTCCCCCCCTCCCCACTCATTAGAGAATGTGTGTTCTCTTGCTGTGTGCTCCAGTTTAACGCAGAGATTCAGGGTGTCAGCACAGAATAGCTGTGTCTGCTTCCTGATCACAGGAGCTCATCCCAGAAGATGTAGGTATTCCTGGAGAGCTGAGTGGACCACTACAACATAAAGGACAATGATTTAAGGTGGCCTGACCTCAGTTCCCTCCTGATGCTAAGTGGTAGAAACGGCACATTACACAACTGTTGATCTTGCTCCATTGTCTTTCATTGGCCATACCCAACCTCCATGAAATGATGCCAGAAACAATTCAAAGAAATCAGATCCAGTGACTAAAGCTCTTCTAAAGAAACCAATCCGACCCAGTAACTAAAGCTCTTCTAAAGAAACCAATCAGACCCGGTGATTAAAGCTCTTCTAAAGAAACCACTCATGCCGGACAATCGACCACGACCAAATGCCAGTCAGAAGGAGGCCATATTGAATTCGAAGACATTTCACAATGATACTTTACAAGAGACATCCCAAGATGAAATAGCAGGTACAGTAACAGTAACACACCTATTGAGTCCTTTTCCCCAGACAATATAATGGACGTTTATTGGACAGACGCTATAAAGTTTAAAAGGTCGTATCATTGATGGTTAGCTTTTCTCATTATCCTCTCTTTGAGTACCTGGTGGCGGACTTGAGGTAACACACCTATTGTGTCCAAGATGGCGTAGCAGTGCGGTCGTGTGTTCTGTTGTGTCCTTGTGTAAATAGCCTGTTTTTCAGTTTTTTTGTCTTTTTTTCGTATATATTTCTCTATCTCACTTTCCATCCTTTAACTAAATATACTTTCCTGCAACCCGCCTCACCCAATGTGGAACGGATTCTATTATTTCTTTATACCTTTTATCAAGAACCTCCGGCTGAAACTAGCCAGCCATCTACTTGCTATTAGCCACCGTTAGCGGTCTTCACCACTGTCCGTAGCCTGCACTACCTACCAGCCAGCTCTAGCCTGGACAATTATCGGTCTGCACAGAGTGCTATCGACCCAGAGCATATAGGATTTTCTGCCGGAATCACTGAATCACTGGACCTTAACACTGGATCATCGCAACTAGCTAGCTGCAACCGAATGGCTGTTGTTGGCTAATCACCACTGTCCCGAAGCACCAGCTAGCTGCAACCAAATAGCTGTTGTTGGATAATCACCACTGTCCCGATGCACCAGTTAGCCTTGAGCTAGCCTTGAGCCAGGCCCATCTCCCGGCTATCTACCTCTCTGTCAACCGGACGGGACCTCCTAGTGTCGACACGGAGCCCCGCCGATCCATCACGACTGGTCTGCCGACATAATCATCTGATGTGGTTTCAACAGACTTCCCGTTGCGACGACCACGAAGATCCATCTGCTAGCCCCGGCCCGCTAGCACAGGCAAACAACAGCCGTGCCTCCTGCTTGCCTGTGCTGTAGCAGCCTATGAACTGCTCCCAGACTCACCTATTGCTGTTCACTGGACCTTATGATTACTCAGCTACACAGCTGATGCCTGCTGGACTGTTCCTTTACACGGTACCCTGTCCTGTTTATCTGTTTATCCTCAGCCCAAACTTTCGTCGCCATTACTAGTTGTTGTCTTAGCTCTCTCGAATAACACCTGTGATTGCGTTATGTCTCTCTCCCATGTCAATATGCCTTGCCTATTGCTGTTTGGGTTAGTTCTTATTGTATTATTTCACTGTAGAGCCCCCAGTCCCACTCAACCTGCCTCAGATAGCTCCTTTGTCCCACCCCCCATACACTCGGAGACCGGCTCAATCGGTACCTCCAGTGATGCTATCTCTTTCATCGTTACCCAATGCTTAGGTTTACCTCCACTGTACTCATATCCTTCCATATCCTTATCTGTACATAATGCCCTGAATCTATTCTACAACGCCCGGAAATCTGCCCCTTTTATTCTCTGTACCCAACGCACTAGAAGACCAGTTCTTAAAGCCTTTAGCCATATCCTTATTCTATTCCTCCTCTGTTCCTCTGGTGATGTAGAGGTTAACCCAGGTCCTTTAGCCCCCAGTATCACTCCTACTCCCCAGGCGCTATCATTTGTTGACTTCTGTAACTGTAAAAGCCTTGGTTTCTTGCATGTTAACATCAGAAGCCTCCTCCCTAAGTTTGAGTTATTCACTGCGTTAGCACACTCTGCCAACCCTGATGTTCTAGCAGTGTCTGAATCCTGGCTTAGGAAGGCCACCAAAAATTCAGAAATGTCCATCCCGAAATACATTTTCCGTCTAGATAGACCTGCCAAAGGGGGCGGAGTTGCAATCTACTGTAGAGATAGCCTGCAGAGCTCTATCATACTATCCAGGTCTGTGCCCAAACAGTTTGAGCTTCTACTTCTAAAAATCCACCTTTCCAGAAATAAGTCTCTCACTGTTGCCGCTTGCTCAGCCCCCAGTTGTGCCCTGGACACCATATGTGAATTGCTTGCCCCCCATCTATTCTCAGAGTTCGTACTGCTTGGTGACCTAAACTGGGATATGCTTAACACAATCTAAAATCCTACAATCTAAACTAGATGCCCTCAATCTCACACAAATTATAAAGGAACCTACCAGGTACAACCCTAAATCCGTAAACATGGGCACCCTCATAGATATCATCCTGACTAATTTACCCTCTAAATACACCTCCGCTGTCTTCAACCAGGATCTCAGCGATCACTGCCTCATTGCCTGCGTCCGTGCTTCAATGCCATACAACACTCCTTCTGTAGCCTCCAACTGCTCTTAAACGCTAGTAAAACTAAATGCATGCTCTTCAATCGAACGCTGCTTGCACCCGCCCGCCCGACTAGAATCACTACTCTCGGCGGGTCTGACTTAGAATATGTGGACAACGACAGATACCTAGGTGTCTGGTTAGACTGTAAACTCTCCTTCCAGACTCACATTAAGCATCTCCAATCCAAAGTTAAATCTAGAATCGGCTTCCTATTTCACAACAAAGCCTCCTTCACTCATGTTGCTAAACACTGCTTTGCTTTATCTTGGCCAGGTCGCAGTTGTAAATGAGAACTTGTTCTCAACTGGCTTACCTGGTTAAATAAAGGTGAAATAAATAAATAAATAAATAAAAATAAAACTGAGACATTGCTGTCTGTTTTTCTCATATTGAGTTACCGAGACAAATTTCACATAATTATGTATGGTGGTCATCTGACAACAGAAATTGCACTAAAAAGGAAATTATTTGTTGAATTAAATATTTTATAAAATGACATGAATCTTATATTTCCAACATAATGTGGCTTATTGGGTGGCTCTGTGGTTATTGGGATGGGCTTTCCAAAATAAAATTAACCATTACAAAAAATCTAATTGTAGGTGTGGGGACGATGTCTTTGATGTTGCAACCAACCAATTACCTCAGCAACATAGCCTAATCCTAATGCAGCAGCATTATTAGATGGGTGACTTAAGATGGTCAAGAACAGAATGTTCCTGATGTTCTATTCTATTCCATATCAGTCAGGATATTCTTTATATCCCTGATAACCTGTCTGTTAATGTTCCTCCATTCATCCCTGATAATCTGTCTCGGTTCATGTCCCTCCAATCATACCTGATAACCAGTCTGTTAATGTCCCTCCAATCCTACCTGATAACCAGTCTGTTAATGTTCCTCCATTCATCCCCAGTCATTCTGGAGGAGATCCAGCGTACCATGTGTGCCCCTCGGGAGGTGTGTCTGGAGGTGTCTAAAGAGTACCCAGAGAGCACCAGTCACTTCTACGTGCCTCGCTGTGTGTCTGTGCACCGCTGTGGGGGCTGCTGTACCCACGAGGGTCTTTACTGCACCAACACCAGCTATACTTACAGCAACAAGACGGTGAGCAACAGAGGACAAACTAGACATCATTCAAAATGTTTAACGATGCTAACACTCAAGTAAAGTTGCTCTTATGCCTGTGTAGTAGCACTGTAATACATCTAGTAAGTACATTCTATTAACATGTTTCAACATATCTATTTAAGTGCGTTGTAGTTTCATAGTACACTGTAAGAAAGGATATAAGAGAGACCACAAATCCGAAACTTTAGTCATTGACACAGTGTTGTTTCTCCTGTGGACTCAGCTGGTGGAGTTGACTCACCGTGAACGCTCTGTGGTGATGGTGGCGTTCGTCAACCACACGTCCTGTGGGTGTCTGTCCAAGAGGCCCCTGCACTCTGTCATCAGGAGGGCCGCCGCAGCCCACCTCACCGTGTGAGTGAGTAGTGAGGAGTAGTCACATCTGCCCCTGCCGATCCAGATTCAATGTGTACACACACACACACACACACACTTAATTATCATTAAGCAATACAGTTTTTAAGGAAGTATGTTTGGTTCATCATATTTTAGGTAGGTAGCCCAGCGGCTAAGAGCATTGGGCAAGTAACCAAAAGGTCGCTGGTTCGACTCCCCGAGCCATCTAGGTGAAAATTCTGTCCATATGCCCTTGAGCAAGGCCCTTAACCCTCCTGAAAGTCTATGCTCCTGTGGTCCTCTGTAGCTCAATTGGTAGAGCACGGCGCTTGAAACGCCAGGGTAGTGGGTTCGATCCCCATGACCACCCATACGTAAAAATGTATGCGCACATGACTGTAAGTCACTTTGGATAAAAGCGTCTGCTAAATGGCTTATTATTATTATATTATTAAGTCGCTCTGGATAAGAGCGTTTGCTAAATTACTAAAATGTATATGTAAATTTTTTGTGAGAAGGTGCAATGTACTAATATAGCTGACTGACTTAGCCAAGGATACTGAGACCTTCCATCTGATCCTATCTGATGTGGACAGCAACAAGGGTGTGGCGATGCAAGAGAATGAGCTAGATCATGAGATATTTGGTCAAAAGTGCTTTGCGTGTGCATTTGCCTTTGAACTGAGGCCATGTGGAAGAGGCCATGTTTCCCCCTGCTCTCCTCTCCCTGTGTCCAGCCTAACTGCTCCAGACTGTTGTGTGTAGGCTGTCTGCCAGGCCAAGGCCAGCAGGGAGGAGGGCCAGGGGATTGAGTTCCCTGTCATAGGGAGGAGGGCCAGGGGATTGAGTTCCCTCTCGCAGGGAGGAGGGCCAGGGGATTGAGTTCCCTCTCACAGGGAGGAGGGCCAGGGGATTGAGTTCCCTCTCACAGGGAGGAGGGCCAGGGGATTGAGTTCCCTCTCACAGGGAGGAGGGCCAGTGGATTGAGTTCCCTCTCACAGGGAGGAGGGCCAGGGGATTGAGTTCCCTCTCACAGGGAGGAGGGCCAGGGGATTGAATTCCCTCTCACAGGGAGGAGCCACAGACTGCCCATGATGTCCAACCCCTTCACAGGAATGCTTTGTGAGAGTAGCCAAGCAGTCCCCCCTAAGCCAAGAAAAGACCTCTGATTGTCAGGGCGTGTGTAGGTGTGGTGGAGGAAATCAGATGCAGGACGCAGACGGTAGGTTCCAAAAGCTGTATTCCGACCCAAACACAGGCAACAGGGCAACAAAGCCCAACAGCTAAACTACGCCCAAGGCGTGTAGGCAAAATGCGCACAAACAGGTGCGACAAAATATGTAGTGCACGAAACAAGTGCAAACGAGCTCCAGCGCAGTGGAGAGAAAATATGCTCAACCGAGCAAACACGACACTGACGAAAACAATCACACACAACACAAGACAAACACAACGAGAAACTTATAGGACACTAATCACGTAAAACAGAAACAGGTGTGACACAAACAGACAAAAGCAAACGAACATGAAAACATAAATCGGTGGCAGCTAGAATTCCGGAGACGACGAACGCCGAAGCCTGCCCGAACAAGGGAGAGAGGCAGCCTCGGCCGAAAACCGTGACAGTACCCCCCCCTTGACGCGCGGCTCCAGACGCGCGCCGACTCCGGCCTTGGGGACGACCCGGAGGCCGCGGCGCAGGGCGCGTCGGATACCCCCGATGGAATTCCGTCAGGAGCGACGGGTCCAAGATGTCTCTCCTCGGCACCCAGCACCGCTCCTCCGGACCGTACCCCTCCCACTCCACTAGATACTGAAGACCCCCTCTCCGACGTCTAGAATCCAAGATGGATCTCACGGTGTACGCCGGTGCCCCCTCGATGTCCAACGGGGGCGGGGGGGTCTCCAAGATCTCATGTTCTTGGAGCGGGCCTGCTACCACCGGCCTGAGAAGGGACACATGGAACGAGGGGTTAATACATTTATACTCCACTGGCAACTGTAATCTATAACAAACCTCGTTCAACCTTCTCAGGACTTTAAATGGCCCTACAAACCGCCGACCCAGTTTCCGACAGGGCAGGCGGAGGGGCAGGTTTCTGGCAGAGAGCCAGACTCGATCTCCAGGTGCGTACACAGGCCCCTCACTGCGGTGTAGGTCGGCGCTCGTCTTCTGTCGACGTATGGCACGCTGCAGATGGACGTGTGCAGCGTTCCACGTCTCCTCCGAGCGCCGCACCCACTCATCCACAGCGGGGGCCTCGATCTGGCTCTCATGCCATGGTGCCAGAACCGGCTGGTACCCTAAAACACACTGAAAAGGGGTTAGTTGGGTGGAGGAGTGGCGAAGAGAGTTCTGTGCCATCTCAGCCCAGGGCACATATCTCGCCCACTCCTCCGGCCGGTCCCGGCAGTATGTTCTGAGAAACCTGCCCACATCCTGGTTTACGCGTTCCACCTGCCCATTACTCTCCGGGTGGTAACCCGAGGTGAGACTCACCGAGACCCCCAACCGCTCCATAAAAGCTCTCCAGACTCTGGAGGTGAATTGGGGACCCCGGTCAGCCACAATGTCCTCGGGCACCCCGTAGTGCCGGAACACATGAGTGAATAGTGCTTCGGCGGTTTGTAGGGCAGTAGGAAGACCCGGCATGGGGAGCAAACGACAGGCCTTAGAGAACCGATCCACAACGACCAGGAGTGTAGTATTCCCTTGAGAGAGGGGAAGGTCAGTTATAAAATCCACCGAGAGGTGGGACCATGGTCGTTGTGGAACGGGCAGGGGTAGTAACTTACCCCTAGGCAGATGTCTAGGCGCCTTACACTGGGCGCACACCGAGCAGGAGGAAACATAAACCCTCACATCCCTGGCCAACGTAGGCCACCAATATTTGGCACTAAGACAGTGCACTGTCCGGCCGATACCCGGATGTCCAGAGGAGGGTGACGTGTGAGCCCAATAGATCAATCGATCCCGACACTCGAGCGGAACATACTTCCGACCCTCCGGGCATTGTGGTGGACTAGGGTCGGTGCGTAATGCCCGCTCGAGCTCAGAATCGAGCTCCCACACCACCGGTGCCACTAGACACGACTCCGGCAGTATGGGAGTGGGCTCCACGGACCTCTCCTCCCCGTCATACCGCCGAGACAGTGCATCTGCCTTACCGTTTTGTGACCCAGGGATGTAGGTGATCTTAAAAGAGAAACGGGTCAAAAACATACTCCATCTAGCCTGTCGAGGGTTCAGCCTCCTCGCTGCCCGGATGTACTCCAGGTTACGGTGGTCCGTCAAAATGAGGAAAGGGTGTTGAGCCCCCTCAAGCCAGTGCCTCCACACCTTAAGGGCTTGGACCACAGCTAACAGCTCCCTGTCCCCTACGTCATAATTTCGCTCCGCCGGGCTGAGCTTCTTGGAATAGAAGGCAACGGGGCGGAGTTTAGGTGGCGCGCCTGACCGTTGGGACAGCACGGCGCCAATACCGGCTTCAGACGCGTCCACCTCTACCTGAAATGGTAAAGAGGGATCCGGATGCGGCAGCACCGGAGCCGAGGTGAACAGGTCCTTCAGCTTCTTAAAAGCCCTGTCCGCCTCGACTGACCACTGCAGACGCACCGGGCCCCCCTTTAAGAGAGATGTGATGGGAGCTGCCACCTGCCCAAAACCCCGGATAAACCTCCGGTAGTAATTCGCAAACCCCAAAAACTGCTGCACCTCTTTCACAGTGGTTGGTGTTTGCCAATTACTCACGGCTGACACTCGGTCTACCTCCATCTTCACCCCTGACGCAGACAAACTGATACCCCAAGAAGGAAATCGACTCCTGGAAAAAACAGACACTTCTCTGCCTTCACATACAGGTCGTGCTCCACCAGCCTCCGCAACACTCTGCGCACCAGGGCCACATGCTCGACACGGGTAGGTGAGTACACGAGGATGTCATCTATGTACACCACCACTCCCTGTCCCTGCATGTCCCTGAAGATCTCATCCACGAATGATTGGAAAACTGACGGAGCATTCATCAACCCGTATGGCATGACGAGATACTCGTAATGGCCCGAGGTGGTACTAAAGGCTGTTTTCCATTCATCATCCTTCCTGATGCGCACCAAGTTGTACGCGCTCCTGAGATCTAATTTCGTGAAGAAACGCGCCCCATGCAACGACTCAGTCATGGTCGCAATCAGCGGGAGTGGATAACTATACTTCACCGTAATCTGATTGAGACCACGGTAGTCGATGCACGGACGCAACCCCCCATCCTTCTTCTTCACGAAAAAGAAACTCGAGGACGCGGGGGAAGTGGACGGCCGTATGTATCCTTGTCTCAGTGATTCGTCTATGTAAACCTCCATAGCTTTCTTCTCCTCCTGAGACAGAGGATACACATGACTCCGTGGGAGCGCAGCTCCTGCCTGAAGGTCTATCGCACAATCCCCCTGCCTATGGGGTGGCAATCGCGTCGCCCTCGCCTTACTAAACGCGATAGCCAGATCCCCATACTCAGGTGGAATGTGCAATGCGGGCACCTGGTTTGGACTTTCCACCGAGGTAGCCCCTAAGGAAACGCCCAAACATCTACCCACACACTGAGCAGACCACTCCTTCAGAGCCCTCTCCTGCCACGAAATAACGGGGTTATGGGTACTTAACCAGGGCATGCCCAGCACCACCGGATACGCAGGAGAGTCAATCAGAAACAGTTGTATTATCTCCTGATGACTCCCCTGCGCACACATCCTAAGTGGCGCCGTGACCTCCCTGATTAAGCCCGTACCCAACGGACGACTATCTAGGGCGTGAACGGGAAAAGGAACTTCCACAGGGAGAAGGGGAAACCCTAACTCTAAAACAAAACTTCTTATCAATGAAATTCCCAGCCGCGCCTGAATCTACCAGCGCCTTACACTGGGAATGAGGTGCCACCTGCGGAAAACACACAGGCATACAAAAATGGGCAACAGTGAGCTCTGGGTGAGTGGGGCGCCTACTCACCTGGAGGGAATCCCCAGTGCGGGACCTGTCGTCATCTCCCCGAGGAGGCCATCCCCAGCACCTAGCCGCGGTTGTGTCTCCCCGACCACAGTTGGTGCAGTGGATGGACCCCCCACTCTGCCGACTCCTCTACCTCTAGCGCCAGCGCCCCCGAGCTCCATAGGACACGGCTCGGGGTGCGCTGGAGGATGGAATGGACGGACCCCCCTCAGGACGTCCGCGGGTAGCCAATAGGTTATCCAACCTAATTGACATGTCGACCAGCTGGTCGAAAGTGAGACTGGCGTCCCGACAGGCCAGCTCCCGACGGACGTCCTCTCTGAGGCTACATCGGTAGAGATCGATGAGGGCCCGATCATTCCACCCTGCATCTGCCGCTAGAGTACGGAATTCGAGTGCGAATTCCTGGGCACTCCTCCTCCCCTGCCTAAGGAAGACCAGACGCTCCCCCGCCGCTTTCCCCTCCGGGGGATGGTCGAACACCGCCCTAAAGCGGCGGGAGAACTCGGTGTAGGTAATGGTCGTGGCGTCGATCTTCCTCCACTCCGCGTTGGCCCACTCCAACGCTTTACCGGCCAGGCAGGAGATTAGGGCGGACACGCTCTCATGCCCTGACGGTGCCGGATGGACTGTGGCCAGGTACAGCTCGACCTGGAGCAAGAACCCCTGACATCCAGCCGCTGTCCCGTCGTAAGCCCTCGGGAGAGATAGTCGGACTCCTCGATGTTCCGGTGCTGGAACGGGCGGGCTGGCCGATGGTGCTGGCTGGGCGGGCGGTGGTGGAGGCGAACCCCAGCCTCGGAGTGTGGAAATAACCTCCTGCAGGGCGTTCCCCATCTGCAGGAGTTGCTCCTGCTGATCCCGAACCTGGGCTTCCAGTCTTGTCTGGGCTGCTTCTGCTCCTGCTGATTCCATGGGTGGTGTGTGATTCTGTCAGGGCGTGTGTAGGTGTGGTGGAGGAAATCAGATGCAGGACGCAGACGGTAGGTTCCAAAAGCTGTATTCCGACCCAAACACAGGCAACAGGGCAACAAAGCCCAACAGCTAAACTACGCCCAAGGCGTGTAGGCAAAATGCGCACAAACAGGTGCGACAAAATATGTAGTGCACGAAACAAGTGCAAACGAGCTCCAGCGCAGTGGAGAGAAAATATGCTCAACCGAGCAAACACGACACTGACGAAAACAATCACACACAACACAAGACAAACACAACGAGAAACTTATAGGACACTAATCACGTAAAACAGAAACAGGTGTGACACAAACAGACAAAAGCAAACGAACATGAAAACATAAATCGGTGGCAGCTAGAATTCCGGAGACGACGAACGCCGAAGCCTGCCCGAACAAGGGAGAGAGGCAGCCTCGGCCGAAACCGTGACACTGATCTGATCCTGGCCTGTGTGTCCCTGCTTCCCTCTCCAGGTGTTCCCCGCCAGATGTTCCCTGCAGTAGAGGACTGGTCTGGGACCCCAACAGCTGCCTGTGTGTTCCCATGGACACAAGCTTATTCTCTGAGAGAGAGCTGGGTAAGTTAAACTGACCCCATACCCATACAACCCCAGTACAGTCGTTTCTGTTCGCCAACACCCAGAGATACCTCATAGGTCAGAGAGTTGGCAAATTAGGACGATATACATTGAAGTGAAATGTACTAAACCACATGACATCTGTCAATAAGGGACACTCAATAGCATCTCTCCTCTCCACCATCTGGTGCAGAACCCCTGGAGTCGGCCTTGCTGGCGCTGTGTGGCCCCAACAAAGTCCTGGACGAGGACAGCTGTGAGTGTGTCTGTCAGAACGGTCTGACGGAGGCCAGCTGTGGGCCGGGCTGGCGTCTAGACCAGGCGTCCTGTGAGTGTCTCTGTGAGGACCAGCCCACCCTGGTGACCTGCCCAGCCAACCAGCGCTGGGACCCAGAGATGTGTGGCTGTGTGTGCCGGGCAGAGTGCCCCCGTAGCCAGCCTCTCAACCCAGAGACGTGCCTGTGCCAGTGCAGGGATAGCCCTCAGACCTGCCTGCTAGAGGGCAAGAGGTTCAACGCACACAACTGCAGGTAAGAAATAGTACAACAGAAACAGAAGACATTTCATATGATGCTGGACGTCCCCATAGACCTTTATAGAAAACCACCCGAGTACTTTTCCCAGAACTATGATGCTGTCACGGTGGCCAAGGTAATAATACGTGTTGTTTGACCCAAGTGGGATCGGACAGCTTGGGAACAAAAAGCTATTACTGTTATAGGTACAGTTAATTTAATTTGAAAAGAGCAAAACACAACAAGATAATCATTGTACCATCTAAACCGCTGTGAAATATAAACTACATGACCAAAAGTATGTGGACACCTGCTCGGCAAACATCTCATTCCAAAATCATGGGCATTAATATGGAGTTGGTCCCCCCCTTTGATGCTATAACAGCCTCCACTCTTCTGGGAAGGCTTTCCACTAGATGTTGGAACATTGCTGCGGGGACTTGCTTCCATTCAGCCACAAGAGTATTAGTTTATTAGTGAGGTCGGGCACTGATGTTGGACGATTAGGCCTGGCTCGCAGTCGGCGTTCCAATTCATCCCAAAGGTGTTCGATGGGATTGAGGTCAGGGCTCTGTGCAGGCCAGTCAAGTTCTTCCACACCGATCTCGACAAACCATTTCTGTATGGACCTCGCTTTGTGCACGAGGGCATTGTCATGCTGAAACAGGAAAGGGCCTTCCCCAAACTGTTGCCAGCACAGTTGGAAGCACAGAATCGTCTAGAATGTCATTGTAGGCTGTAGCGTTAAGATTTCCCTTCACTGGAACTAAGGGGCCTAGCCCAACCATGAAAAACAACCCCAGACCATTATTCCTCCTCCACCAAACTTTACAGTTGGCACTATGCATTCAGGCAGGTAGGGTTCTCCTGGCATCCGCCAAACCCAGATTCGTCCACCGGACTGCCAGATGGTACAGCGTGATTCATCACTCCAGAAAACGTGTTTCCACTGCTCCAGAGTTCAAGGCGGCTGGCTTTACACCACTCCAGCCAACGCTTAGCATTACACGTGGTGATCTTAGGCTTTTGTGCGGCTGCTCGGCCATGGAAACCCATTTCATGAAGCTCCCGACGAACAGTTATTGTGCTGACGTTGCTTCCAGAGGCAGTTTGGAACTCGTAGTGAGTGTTGCAACCGAGAACAGTGTATTTTGAATAACCAAAAACATAGCATTTTCAGCTGTTCGAAGCTGGTGTACAAAAACGAAAGTAGAAGACGCAAAAATGAAACTTTTGAATGGGAAGCATAGAAATAGTGCACATAGAAGATATCTACTGCTTCTTATACTTGCTTTCAATGAGAATGCCAGATCTATAACTCACATTTCTATGTAAATTTGGTAGGGTCGCTCAAAAGGTTACATATTGCAGCTTTAAATACTGAATGGTATAATGTTAAATACTGTATGGTATAATTAAGCAATAAGGCCTGAGGGGGGTGTGGTATATGGCCAATATACCACGGCAAAGGGTTGTTCTTAGGCACAACGCAACGCTATTATAAACTGGTTACCAACATAATTAGAACAGTAACAATTATTTTTTTGTCATACCCATGGTATACGGTCTGATATACTATGGCTTTCAGCCAATCAGCATTCAGGGCTCGAGCAATCCGCTTTATAATTTTAAATGCTGAATGGTATAATGTTAAATACTGTATGGTATAATATTAAATACTGAATGGTATAATGTTAAATACTGTATGGTATAATATTAAATACTGTATGGTATAATATTAAATACTGAATGGTACCATGTTAAATACTGAATGGTATCATGTTAAATACTGTATGGTATCATGTTAAATACTGTATGGTATCATGTTAAATACTGAATGGTATCATGTTAAATACTGAATGGTATCATGTTAAATACTGAATGGTATCATGTTAAATACTGTATGGGTATAATGAGCAATACACATTTCAGTGAACCGTCAAATTCACATAGTTCACAGTTCTGCACATCTGTTAAACGTAATGATAACTATACAAATATTATTCACACTTCCCGATAATAAGGCTTTAATATGAAGAACAACTCTAGCGAGAGAATTAATATCCTGCTTCCTTCCCTTAAAATGAAGCTGAGGCAAGGCACCTGACACATTTCTTTGGAATGGAGTAAAGAGATTTTCCAGTAAGCACAGAATTCCCCTCTCCTGCGAGATATTTTTTTTTTTACACCGGAAAGAGTCATTACAGCTATGGGGATTGGTCCCAGATTACACGCACGCGCATAAGTAGCCTACACACGCAGGGGCATGCACATGGGCCACAGTTATATTGAAACTACAGTACATTATGTAAAACAAACCGTTCTGTCTGTTTCTCTTCACTTCCACCAAGCTGTTACCGGCTGCCCTGCAGAAAGCCACACAACAACTGTCCAACAGGCTTTACTACAGCCACTACGTCTGCCAGTGCATACCCAACCACATGAGTCAGGGGAGTGGAACTGACAAAGTTGGTGTTATCAGCACTGGCGCCAAACTCCAGGGCCAATGTACTGTAACTGTTGGTTGGAAACGAGGCGGTGTGTTTGCAATATACAGCCGGTAGATGGAGGAGACAGG